CTGTCGGGTCACCGTTTATAACGCTAACCAGTGTTTCTCTGTATGTTCACAGTTTAGCTACAACGTGTTTTGTAGCTAAACTGTTGGCATAAGTTTTATTTCTGTCGGTTCATATCAGCACGAGTCCATGCATGTGCACGTGCTTGTGGCTAACGCTAACGTATATCTCTTTGTTTTATTAAGGTAATAGTTAAAAAAAAATCCTATTTAATGTTTCACATGAGTGATTCTTTTCTTTCTTTATATATTAGTAATTTAACAAACTGTTTAAAAGCCGAGATCACTAGCAGAAGTTAACTTTTACAGTAGAATTATATCTAACTGATTTTCTGCAACTTTTTCTAAACGTTTTCTTATGCTCTGTTTCAACAGGTTCTTGTGAAGATGCAGTGGAAATGTAAGTTTTGTGAATTTACATGTAACAAACGGGGTTACCTATTAAAACATTATAGGTTAAAACATGGAAGTTACAGCAGAACTGTTCCATTTCCTTGCCTACATCGAGATTGCTTGTGCACATTTAACTCAATTAATGCACTTAAAGTGCACATGTCTAAGATTCACTCGAAAGCCCACGATCCTCAACTGTGTGAAACTGGCCAAGTAACTATTCACTGCGAGTTATGTGATTTTTCTGTACCCTGTACAGAAGGGGATTTCTTCACTCACCTGCGCAAGACGCATTTAAAAGTTAATCACAGAGTCCAGTGTCCATATAAAGAATGTGACTTTAATACTGATGTGTACACCACATTTAATGCACATAGAAGCAGAAGGCACAGAACAGACAATTGGAGGATGTTCAGGCCAGAATTAGTCTGTGGTGGTGTAATTAATTCTGGTAATGAAATGGCTCAAGTAGAACATATGCCTCCAAATGACCCCCCTGATTTAGAGGACAGTGAGGATTCCACCTGTGAAGAGGTGTATGATTTAGAGACACAGTTGGAGCACAACCTTGCAGCTCTTTTTTTAAAGATGCAAACTGTCCTTCACATTCCGGAGATTTCCATACAAGAGATCATACAACAGCTTGTACAGATATGTGAACTGTCCCAGCCACTGCTCCATAATTCAGTCAAGGAAATTCTAAAACAATACATAGATATAGATGATTCAACTGTGAGACAGTTAGTCAAGGCTGCCTCAGACAGCAATGTCATAACAAGATTTTGTGGAAAGGAAGGCTCCTTATCAACCACTAAAAGGAGAGCAGCATATTTAAGCAAGAATTTTACAGTGGTTAGGCCAGTGGAGTATATTATTGGTAAAGAAAAAAAATGTAGTGCTGTATATGTTCCGATAAATGAAATGCTCCAGAAAATGTTGAACAGGGCAGACATTTTAGACAAAGCTCTACCACTACAGAAGCATGTGCCACATGAGTACAATACATACAGAGATGGTTCAAACTGTAAAAAAAACAACCTGCTTAAAGGGGAGGAGTTCAAAATTGCTGTTGGGCTCTACACAGATGATTTTGAAGTGTCCAACCCTTTAGGAACATCAAAAAAGAAACACAAAATGAATGGAGTTTATTGGGTGCTAGCTAATCTGCCATCAAAATACAGGTCTACACTTCATTCCATTCAGCTTGCTCGCTTATGTAAAGTTTCTGATGTAAAGGAATATGGCTATGCTAAAATTTTCCATCCTCTCCTCAAAGATTTGGTTTATTTAGAGCAGCATGGTATATATGTTGAGAAGCTGGGAGCTTGTATCAAAGGCACAGTGTCATATGTGGCTGCTGATAACTTGGCTGCTCATTCTTTGGCAGGATTCTTTGAGAGCTTTGTGGTGGACAAGTTCTGCAGGTTCTGCTTGGCAGCGAGGAGTGACATCCAATACATAGAAGTCTCTTCAGGCACCTTTGAATCCAGGACTAAAGAAAGTCACAATCAGCACGTACAGGAGGTACGACAAGATCCTATTTTAGCTAAACAGTATGGTGTGAAAAGAGAATGTGTGTTGACAAGCAGTCTGGAGCACTTTCATGTTGTTCATGGGTACCCCCCTGATATTCTGCATGACCTTTTGGAAGGTATTGTTCCTGTTGAGTTATCTCTTTGCATTTCAGACCTGATTTCTAAGAAATATTTCAGCTTGGAAACACTAAACCATGCTATAAAGACATTTCCATATGCCTTTAATGACTCCACAGACCAGCCTCAGCCCATTGCCCATGGCTTCTCTACCAAAGGGACCATAGGGGGCAATGGCCATGAGAACTGGGCTCTAATCCGACTCCTCCCACTTCTCATTGGCCATAAAGTACCTGAAGGAGACAAAGCATGGAACATTCTGTCGCTCCTCAAAGACATTGTTGAATTGGTGGTAGCAACAAAACACACTGAAGAGTCGATCCATTTTCTTGATTGCAAAGTGTCAGAACACAGGGAACTACTGCAAACTACATTTCCTGATTTCAGATTACGCCCAAAACATCACTTCACTGAGCATTACCCTGAGATGATTAAGGCATTTGGTCCTCTTTCAGATGTCTGGACAATACGCTTTGAGGGAAAGCATAAATTTTTTAAACAAGTTATTCGTAATGCGCACAATTTCAGAAATGTTGCTCTTACACTGGCTGTTAAGCATCAGAAAATGATGGCTTACTTTTTAGACTCAAGCTCATTTTTCAAGCCAGCAGTTGAAATGGACAGGGTTACTATTTCATCGATTACATCTTACCCTGAGAATGTCAAACAAATTTTCTGCCAGAGAGTTCCTCAGCTTGCATCAGTTCTTGTTGCATCTTCAGTCTCTTTAGATGGAATAAGATACTGTGCTGATATGATGCTCTCTGTTGGTTCATGTTCAGGCCTCCCTCAATTCAAGCAGATCAAAAAGATTGTGGCAATCAACTCTGATATCCTCTTTGTCTGTAAAGAGATGACTGCATGGTATCATGAGCATTTCAGATCATTTGAGCTCTGTGACAGCACTAACCCCTCTCTGTGTTTGGTGGAACCAAATGAGCTTGATGTTTTCCCTCTTCCAGCATACAGATTTGGAGACAATTTAATAGTGACACTCAGGCGCAATATTCTGTGTTAAACAGCAACAAGTGTGGCAGATGCAGTCATTCATAGCCTAAATGGTCACATTTAACAGGTTTTTATTTCATATATGGTGCCAAACTTTTTCTTAAATACACCTGTTAGAAATATTTATGTAAATTAATCTTCCCCTATACCTCATTTTGCTCATTAATTTCATATTTGAAATGTGGACATGCATAATTTTTAACAAGCTTTTTTTGTGATGCAGATGGCAGACCAGAAGATGACATTGAGGGTCATTATCACTGAGGCAGATATAAGAAAGGTCACCCTGAATAGGAGGCCTGCTACAGTGGAGGAATTGATAAGCAATATTAAAGAATTGCTGGGGCTTGATTACAGATTCAGTTTCCAGTACAAAGATCCTGAATTTAATCATGAACTATGCAATCTGTCAGATATTGCAGATCTTCCAGAAAAACCAACAGTCAAAGTCATCCCTATACTTGAGCTGGTTCCTGTCTCAGCATCTGCAGAAAGCTTGGATGACAACCTCAGTACAACAGATACAGAGATCCTCTCGCAATCATCTCAGGAGCGACAAGCACCGTGGCCAGAGCTATTTGATGTTCCAGATTTCTCTGTTGATGTGAAGTATAGACTCAGGCAAGCAAATCTGCTGTATTGTAGTGATGGAACCCTCCTTAAAGTAACAAAAGATCTTAAACACGAGATTCTTGAAAGATTGGGAGAGAGCATGTATGGCTTCACAGCATACCCAGACAATGGTCAATTTGAAAGCGTTGCAGCTGCACTGATCAACAAGCACCCCTGTCTCCAGGAAAAAGGCTTGGAGCTGTAGTGGTTGGAAGAACAGTTTGAAATATAAAATGGCTAATTACAGGATGAAGCGCAGACAGTCAGGATGTCTTGATGTTGTGGTAAATGCTGGTAAGCGTGGAGGGCATTCAACCCCAGGAGAACCAGCTAAAAAAAATATAAAGAAAGCAAAGAAAGGCGAACTCAACTACTTACCCAACTTTCCAGACGGATTTGATCAGACAGGCCTTGAGGATACACGCACGGTCTTGGTCGATGAAATGCAGAAAAGAACACCAAATGGACGACTTGTGAAAGAGAAGATGGACCTTACATTTGTACTTAGAAGAAAAGAGGTGGTGGAGTCCGAGCCTGCCATAAGCCAGATGGTGGAACGCTGGCCTGCTCTTTTTACAGAAGATCAGGTATGTTTAAGAGTGTTATAACTTATCTATCTTTCTATTATTATGTTATGCCATTGTTCAGTGTCGTTTACACAGCCTTATGTTCTCCCAGATGACTTTCTTTAGATGAACACAACATATAGTTAATCTCAGTGTCCATATATTGCAAGTATACAGGACCACCAAAGTTGACGGTTAAAAACCACACGAAGGGAACACAATACACACAACAACAGTTGATGAATTAATTAGTTGTAATCCATACCAACCCACAATGTCACTGTGTCACTTTAATTATTTAATATATCCTCTAGTGAAAAAAAAAGTTCCTTCAATTCAAGCAGATCAAAAGGATTGTGGCAATCAACTCTGAGATCCTCTTTGTCTGTAAAGAGATGACTGCATGGTATCATGAGCATTTCAGATCATTTGAGCTCTGTGACAGCACTAACCCCTCTCTGTGTTTGGTGGAACCAAATGAGCTTGATGTTTTCCCTCTTCCAGCATACAGATTTGGAGACAATTTAATAGTGACACTCAGGCGCAATATTCTGTGTTAAACAGCAACAAGTGTGGCAGATGCAGTCATTCATAGCCTAAATGGTCACATTTAACAGGTTTTTATTTCATATATGGTGCCAAACTTTTTCTTAAATACACCTGTTAGAAATATTTATGTAAATTAATCTTCCCCTATACCTCATTTTGCTCATTAATTTCATATTTGAAATGAGGACATGCATATTCTTAACAAGCTTTTTTTGTGGTGCAGATGGCAGACCAGAAGATGACATTGAGGGTCATTATCACTGAGGCAGATATAAGAAAGGTCACCCTGAATAGGAGGCCTGCTACAGTGGAGGAATTGATAAGCAATATTAAAGAATTGCTGGGGCTTGATTACAGATTCAGTTTCCAGTACAAAGATCCTGAATTTAATCATGAACTATGCAATCTGTCAGATATTGCAGATCTTCCAGAAAAACCAACAGTCAAAGTCATCCCTATACTTGAGCTGGTTCCTGTCTCAGCATCTGCAGAAAGCTTGGATGACAACCTCAGTACAACAGATACAGAGATCCTCTCGCAATCATCTCAGGAGCGACAAGCACAGTGGCCAAAGCTATTTGATGTTCCAGATTTCTCTGTTGATGTGAAGTATAGACTCAGGCAAGCAAATCTGCTGTATTGTAGTGATGGAACCCTCCTTAAAGTAACAAAAGATCTTAAACACGAGATTCTTGAAAGATTGGCAGAGAGCATGTATGGCTTCACAGCATACCCAAACAATGGTCAATTTGAAAGCGTTGCAGCTGCACTGATCAACAAGCACCCCTGTCTCCAGGAAAAAGGCTCAACCAATCGCTGTAGTGGTTGGAAGAACAGTTTGAAATATAAAATGGCTAATTACAGGACGAAGCGCAGACAGTCAGGATGTCTTGATGTTGTGGTAAATGCTGGTAAGCGTGGAGGGCATTCAACCCCAGGAGAACCAGCTAAAAAAAATATAAAGAAAGCAAAGAAAGGCGAACTCAACTACTTACCCAACTTTCCAGACGGATTTGATCAGACAGGCCTTGAGGATACACGCACGGTCTTGGTCGATGAAATGCAGAAAAGAACACCAAATGGACGACTTGTGAAAGAGAAGATGGACCTTACATTTGCACTTAGAAGAAAAGAGGTGATGGAGTCCAAGCCTGCCATAAGCCAGATGGTGGAACGCTGGCCTGCTCTTTTTACAGAAGATCAGGTATGTTTAAGAGTGTTATAACTTATCTATCTTTCTATTATTATGTTATGCCATTGTTCAGTGTCGTTTACACAGCCTTATGTTCTCCCAGATGACTTTCTTTAGATGAACACAACATATAGTTAATCTCAGTGTCCATATATTGCAAGTATACAGGACCACCAAAGTTGACGGTTAAAAACCACACGAAGGGAACACAATACACACAACAACAGTTGATGAATTAATTAGTTGTAATCCATACTAACCCACAATGTCATTGTGTCACTTTAATTATTTCATATATACAGGTGCATCTCAATAAATTAGAATGTCGTGGAAAAGTTCATTTATTTCAGTAATTCAACTCAAATTCTGGGACAATATAAGGCTGTGTAAAAGATGAGCTAATTTTCTTTTTTTTGTGTGAAGTATCCCTTTAATCTTTTCTCACACACAATGCAGGTGCATCTAACCACAGTGTAATTTAGTTTAGAAATAATAATGTTCTGTATTTTCTCTTATTTTGCAGGTGTTCATGGAGTTCAGCAGGATTGTGGGAAAGAACCTCAGGCAGGAATTCTATGAAAGCATTGATCGACACAGTCTTCGTCTAATTGAGATCTTTCGATCTAAGAAAGGGAATGTCGGACAGCTGTTGACAGCGCTTTTACAACAAACCAGGGTTGGTCCATATCCATTATACAATTGCATTGTTGCATTGATTTTTTTATATTTCAGTTATTGAAAATGTCACAATAAGTGATACTATATTGGTTGTCTAATACAATTGTCCAACAAAATTGTGCTTTGTTGGTTCTGCTCTCTTCTAGATCATTTCCTGTTATTCTAGCTATTTACCTTTTGTTTTGTTTTTTTACTACCCAACAGACTCAAAAGCCAACTGATATTAGGTCACTGGTGCTCAGAGGGCTCCCGATTCTCCTTGGTGACAACCCCACAGATTTCTTCAAAGCATGCTTTGTAAGTAACTTATTTTCTCAAAGGTTACCTTAAAGGACCATGAAAACTTAATAATTTTATTAATAGATAGTCCTAGTATTTGATAAAACGTTTACACACAGCTTAAACCATTGGAACTTAGTGAGTAGCAAAAGCTCTTTCCAACCTCTCTCTAACATTGTCATCATGTCAGTCAAAACCCACAAGACTTTTGTTTATCTTCAGAACACAATTTAAGGTATTTTGAATGAAACCTGCAACTTTCTGTCCCTATTTTAAAAGTCCAGATAACCTCAATTTAAAGGTTCATTTATGTTTTCAAGCCTTTTGAAAAGATAAATGGGCTTTATGTGACTTTGAATGGAGGGAAAGATAAATTCGTATTTTTATTTTTTTTTATTTTATAAATATCTTCATTTCTTTTTTTAAGATAGACACAAGTCTTATGGTTTTGGAATGACGTGAGGGTAAATAAGTAAATGACAAAATGTAAATTTTTGGATGAACTAACCCTTTTGATGAAGTGTTACTAAAGCATTCATAACCAATTCACACATTCTCTCATGTGTCTGTCATTACAAGGCTATTTGTTTAACATTATTGATGGTTACTTAATGAGAAATGTCATTGATGTGCTCTGTTGGTAGGACTCTGATGATCAGTCATTCCGCCACCTTGACCTTGGAATCCTCCTTGTTGAGCAAGAAGGTATTGTGTGCCCATCTTCTCTTCAACTCAATCCAGCCTCCGTTAAGATCATCATTGAGGGAGAAGTCGTGATGGAAAGCATTAAAGACTTGCCAAAAGCTGTGTGCATTCTCTTTGGACTTGCATATGCACTGCATCTCAATTACCCCAAATCGATGAAGAACACATTTCAATTCATACAACAAGTTCTCCTCATGTTGGGCCACCGTGACTTAAAACCCAAGTTACAAACATTAAAAAATCAACTTACAATTTGATTGACAAAGCAGTTGTGGGAAACTAACATCAGAAGCCATGGCAGGTTATTGTTCTCAAGGTGCACAATGAATCTTTGAACAGATTCTCTTGTTCAGAATGTCCTGTCACTGCAGTAAGTGATCCAAAGTTTAGCTGTGTTCTGTGCTAAAAGTGTTTAAATCTGCAAATTGTTGCTATGTTAATGAGTTAACGTAGTCAACTCGAACTTAAACTTGTAGAGGCTTGCCTCAGGTTTTAATGCTTATCCAGTTTTAATGCAATTCTAGTCATTCACATGGATATAGCATATTGTTGAATACTGTGTTTTCATGTTCCTCTAAACAATTTACAATTGTTAACAAGCAAAAATGTTTTCTTATGCAAAAAATGTTACTTGTCATTTGGTTGAAAAGTTAAGTACAACTTTTTGTGAACAATAAAAAAAAAACATTGAAATGTTGTTATTGTTTATTTCTTTAAAAGTAATTAAAATAATTTTACAATTTAAGTAGTATCATTTTAAAATGATAAGACATTACTTAAATATAACAATTATCACTACTTAAAATCATTTGTTAATATTAATATTTTTTTGTTCAACTTAATAGTTATTTTATAAAACATATCCTCAAAAAAATTAATAATGTGAACTAATGCTTTTTAGTAAAGACTACTAATGCCAACTTGATTTGTCTGCTACACCCACTAAATGTTCTAAGTTAATACAACTTAACCTGTTTAGTTTCACCCGGTGTAAAAACTAAAATTGTTTAGTGCAACGGGTTTCCACGCAATTTTCTAGTAAAGTCAACTAATTCAGGTTAAGAGTGTATGAGCCTGCTCATCTGAAGTTATGGTTGATTGCTCTTCGGCTGGATATCAACACACCCATTAACGTAAACTACGCCAGAGCGCGTACACACCTCACGAACCGGATGCCTGCACGCGCTCAAGGAAGTTGGACATAGTGTTGTATTAGAGGTAAAAAAATGATATAAATACTGTTCGGTTTCTCGCACAAACCGATCGTTTCGTGTCTTAGGACATCAATGTGTCGTCACGAGCCGCAGGGTTTAATTTGGATTTGTCTGTGCATGTTTTTTTTACTCTCATATATTTTGTTACCATTGCCATGCATTATATGACTGATAGACTGCAACGGCTGGAGTTAAAAATCATCATATGTGTTCTACTGAAGAAACAAAGTCACCTACATCTTGGATGCCCTGGGGGTAAGCAGATAAACATCACATTTTCATTTTTGGGTGAACTATCCCTTTAAAGCAGGGTTATTAGCTTGACGTTGCTGATTAAGACAAGCTGACATCGTCTCATAAGATTTCCAAAGATCTGATATGTAGCTGGAATAACATCCTAAATAATTAATAGATGTGATTTTTTATCAGCCTGTCAGTTCAAATCAATGATTCTGGGACAATAACTGAAATTGATGACAATGTCTCTTTGAGTCAGTGTTACAGTACTTTCAGCTCTGCAGTCTAGAAAGGTCCATTCTGGAAACAATATCAGCATTAGCATATTTTGAATTCACTTTAAGATAGGGATTGTTTATTAATCGCTTTATACTGTGCTTTTTTACCTCACTCAGAGTCTCTTTTTACACGTGTATATCATTTGTTTCTGGCAACAGCTTAAATCCGAATGCACAGCAGCCATTACTGTTAGTCAGCATCTGTGACTCTCAAACTCCACAGTATCACTTTCAAAACACCAAAGAACTCATGCTTTATGGTTTTCAGCAAATTATAATTTATGTAAATGTTTGAGATGAATTATTTGAAACAAAGGTAAATAGAATAGCTTTAATGAGCAAGCGGAAAAGACAGGTGCTGTGGAGGATCCTGACTGGCAGAAGAAGAGAGGTTGGAAAGCTGGTGAGAATTTCAAAGTTAAAGGCAGGTTGATTTATAATGCTTCTCGTTTGACCTGAGGCCTGTGAAATGTGCGCTGGCAGGAGTGACTCTACAGACTCTCTTTGTTGTTTTGCTAGGCTGTGGAGGTCTTCCAGAAGCGTTTGAACTGCTGTACACCTTGTGCTCTCATGGAGATAAGCGAAGCTAAACAAACATGCATCAATGTTAATGATGCGCTGAGATGATCATAACAGACTATGTTAATTTCACAGACGAACTCCTGATATCTGGCACTGGGAGTAGCTACATGACCATTTTACATTTTAAAGCGTGTTGCCCGTCTGATCTTCAGACAGTGTCAGTGAGATGTCAAAACAAATGGTGGCGCATGCATGGGGGCTTGGTGCTTGAGTTCACACCGTCCCACCCTTTGGACCCGTCTGAAGCTTTGCATTATATGTTGAGCTTGACACAAACTTCAGCCTGTGTTTTATTAGCCTCTGTAACAAAACGAAGGCTCATGACTGTTGATGAAACAGTGTTCTCACTGGCCATTCTAGGGAACTGGCTTGTTAGCATTGCAGTTGTATGTAATGTGCATGAAACCATCACTGCATACGTTTTCATTACTTTTATTTTAATATGTGTATTTAACGCATTTAATATGAAACATAATATGTTTTAACAAATTATTATTTTTTAAATTAATTATTTACTGGTAACTGTTTAACTGTTAAATTGGCAAATTATTTAATATAGTTTTCATTACATACTTTAATTAGGTATTTAATATGAAACATAATACATTTATTTAAAATTGATTATTTATTTAATTTTTCATTTCACTACATGCCATTTGATTAGGTATTTAATATGAAATACAATTAATATTTTAACTTTAAACTTAATGTTTTAACAAATTATTTTTATTATTTCTTTATAAATTATTTAACTAATAAATTAACCATTTATTGAATATAGTTTTCATCACTTTACATATTCTTTAATAGGGTATCTAATATGAAATACAATTAATATGTTTTAACAAATCATGCATTAATACATGTATTATTTATTATTATTTAATTAATATAGATTCCATTGCATACATTAATTATTCATTAATTTTCATTACATGCATTAAATAGGAGACATAATTATGTTTTAACAAATTATTGTTTATCCTTTATTTAACATTACAATTAACACATTATTATTTAATGGATATAGTCAAATAATATACAATTACATTAATCATATTTTCATATTTGTTCAAATAATAAATAAGGTCTTTGTTGGTGTTCAGTTAAACCAAAATTGTAGTATGGAAGAACATTTTAGCCCATTT